AAAAAAAAAAAAAAAATTTCCAAGAGTAATAATAATTTTTTAATAAATTTCGATTTAGTATTATCGATCGATTGATTGATTGATTGATTCTGCATCGATGAGCTCAATAATTGTTATTAATAATATTGATTGATTATAAGATAAGTATGAGTGGTAACGTCAATTATTTACGATGGTTATCGAATAAGACCGAAATGAAATTTTTTTTTTTTTTTTTTATTCTGGAATTCGAAAGAAAGATGAATCGGAAATGAATTTACGTCATACACGTTTTATTACCGGTAATAAAAATTACTTTTCCTCTTTCCCGATTGATAATAGGTTATTGATAAAAAAAAAAAACGGTTAAATTGGCATGATTTACAAAAGACAAAAATTTTTATTTGGTTGCTTATGTGTGTGTTTAATTAGTTTTAGATTTTTTTTTTTAAAATTTAAATTACCTCGGGTAATAAAATTTTGTGATTAGGTGAATGAAGTAATAAAAGATGAAAAATTTAATACTTTTTTTCTAATACGAAAAACTAATAATTGATAATAATAATAATAATAATAATAATAATAATAATAATTTTAAAAAAATTGCATGTTTAGTTTTATTATTATTAATAATTTCTTTTTTTAAACGTGTGAGAGTTTGGTTGTGGTTTTATTACTTTTTTACCACTGCCACCCACCCACCCACTCTCCTCTTCTCTTGCCCTTTTTAAAATTTTCCGCGTTTTTTTTCTTCTGTATTTGGGAAATGATTGATTGGGGGGGAGATTTCACGTGTCGAGTAATTTTTTTTTTTTTATTACGGTAATTATCCGAAAGTAATTTTTTTTTTCCTCCGTAAATATTCCATTAAACTCTTGGTTTGGTTGGAGAGGATGAATGGGGAAGTGGGGGAGGGGGGTGTAAGCGGGAAATGGAAATAATTTAAAAGGTTTTATTTACATTTTTTTTTTTTGCTTTTAAAACGTCATCATATTACATCACAGATCACGAAATCCATGTGTAATCATCCGGATGAATGAATGAATGAGTGAATGAATGAATAATTTAAAGGGTAAAGGTTAAAAAAAAAAAAAATTCTCCCGGTATTTTCTTTTTGAAAAATTACTGTTATCATCATTATTATTATTATTTTTCTTTGTAATAATAATAATAGTAACGTCACCGACACGTTTACCTTTTTTTTTTTTCTGTTTCTCCTGTTTCTCTTTTTTCTTTATCCGAATGAGAATGAGATTAAAAAAAGGGGTATTAAATTTAATGGAATTCTTTTTTGGGGGAGGTTAGAGAAGTGGGTACTGGAGAGGAGAGGAGGAAAAGGAAGTTATATAGTGCAAAAGGAAAAAAGAAGAAAAAAAAAAATTAAATTCGTATGTGTGAGTTGTTGTTTTGTCATCATTAATAATATATATAACACTCTGACATTTTTCTTTCGATAACACAAATAATTATTTTAAAATTTATATATAATTAATAATAATAATAATAATAGTAGTAGTTGTAGTAGAAATAGTAGTAATAATAGTAGTAATAATAATAATAGTAAAACAATTTATTTCAAAGCAATAAAATATTATTATTATTATTATTTTTAAATAATAAGAAGAAGGAGAAGATGAAAGCAATCGAAGTAGTTGATTGTGATTGATTGATTGTTGGATTAATTATTATTATTATTATTAATTTAAAATTAATTGTATTTGAATTTTTTTTTTTTGCTTTTAAAACCGAAAAACAAATAGAGATCGATGGATCGATTGATCGATCGATCGAATTTCCAAACGATATTTAAAACTTATAAGAATTTGAATGTTTTCTTATCATTTCTGATATAAAACGGAAATGCGTTAATGTTAACGAAAAATGACGCGTTGATTTTTTTTTTTTTAACAGAAGTTTGTAGAAGATTTTGTTCGTTTGTTTGTTTGTTTTTGCAGGACTACAAATTCATACATAAAACAAACACGTTTGTTTTTCGGTTTTTAAAAGTTTTTCTTTTATTTCTATTTTTTTTTTTTTTTTTTTTTTTTGGTTTTCGCTTATTTTAGGTAAAATTTGATTAATTTTTTCTTTTTTTTTCTTACTTTACTCACGTTTATGTACAAAATAATAATAATAATAATAATAATAATAATAATAATAAGTAATAATAGTAATAATAATTAATATAAACGTTATGCTCTGTGTCGCGAGTTTTGTATTATTAAATTAGTTTTTAGTTTTTATCGTAGTTATTAAGAATAGTTTTTTTTTTTAATGTATGAATTTTTCATTAGTTTTCCTATCGTTCTATTTGATTTTTTTTTTTTTTTAGTTGTGTAGTTAATGTGTGTAGTTAGTTTTTAAAAATTAATAATAATAATAAAAATGATTTTAAAAAATTAATTAATTAATAAAAAAACCACCATTTGCACTGTAGAATTATTTATTTTCAATATAGTAAAAGTTTTAAAAGTAGATTTCTTTTTTTTTTTTGTTTTTCGTTTTTAGTTTTTTTAATTTTTTGTTGTTTAATTAAATAATAATAATTAATAGCTTCATTAACATCTTTTTTTTTTTTTTTTTATTAAACAAATTAACATAACTTTATGGATTTTCTAATGTTTTTCTAATTTATTAAAATGTGTGACGTAACGATCAAAAAGAACCAATGAGAATCGTTTACGTCACGATGACAATTTTATTCGTTATTAATTTTGGAATAAAAAATTATTACGAGATTTAATAAGGAAAAAATTATCATTATTTTTTTAAAATTAGAAAATCCATGTTTTTACTTAATTAATAGTAATAATAATAATAATTAACCTTTTTATTACTTCAATAATAACGATGAAAAAATAATTTTATGACTATCGTTAAAAATTAGCCTTATTTAGTTTTTTTGTTTTTTTTTCCTTTAGTTTTTCCTAAGTGTTTTTATTTAGAAAAATGTTTTAAAATAATTTTAAAGCTTCGTTTCTTCTGCTTTTATTAATTATTAATATTTGATTTTAACGTACGAAAGAGAAAGAGAGAAAGAGAAAGAGGAAAGTAAAAAAAAAAAAATTTTTTTGAATTTTTTTCGTGTGGATTATTTTACTTGTGCCTTAATTAATTTCGTTACAAAAAGTTTTGAATGAGAGAGTGAGAGAGAGAGAGGGAGAAGGGAGAGGGGAAGAGAGAAAGAAGAACTGCGAGAAAAGTGGGAAAGGAAGAAAGGAAGTAAAAAAAAGGGGGGAAGAAACATCAAATAGGAAGAAGAGAGTAATAAAATTTTCAAGATATAATAAAACCTTTTACGAAGTATTTTGCCTCTACACCCCCCTCACCTCCCTTCCTTTTTTTCTCTTCCCTTTACGAAAACGAACGTTGTTAAGGTTAAATTCATTCCCGGAGTAAAAGGAGAGAGGAGATAAAGGTAATAAAAAAGTGAGGAAAATTATTATTTACAACTTACCTATTACGAAAACGATGTGTGACGTTATAAACGAATTGCTCCCCGTTAATAATAATAATAATTAATAAACGATCGACTCTCATTATCACGATGAATGATATAAATTATTATTATTAATTAATAATACGACGTCATAATAATAATAATTATAAAATATTATTTATTACCTTTAAATATTATTAACTTGTAATTATCGTATTAGAAAAGCAATACCAAAAATAATAATAAAAAAACTTATCGATAAATAATTAATTTATGTATAAAATATTTTATTATTTATTAATTAATTTTTTTTATTACGGTAATTAATAATAATTATAATTCAATTCTGGCAATCAATTCAATTAATAATAAAATGTATTTATGTATATATATATAAAAAAAAAAAAAAACCCAACAACAAACAAGTAATAGATTTTAATATCTAAAAAGAAGAAAAAAAATTATGTACATAATTAATTTCACTTAATAATAATAATAATAATAATAAATTAAAATGTCTTCCTAATGCAATCATTCGTAAAATGAAATGCATAAAAAATTAATTAATTAAATTATTATCATTATTTTTTTTTCTTAATAATAATAATAATAATAATAATAATTTAGACAATATTAATAAATAAATAAGTTTATTTGTAGACGAAAAAATAAACAAACAAACTAAACAAACAAAAAAAAATTTATTATTGTATGTATATACTTTATATTGAAATGATATTATTATAATAAGCGTGAAAAGTAAAAAAAATTTTAATAATTTTAAATAATTTTAAATAAATAGATAAATAGATACATAAATAAATAAAAAGCATTTATATATATAATTTAAGGATCTCAATAATATATATAAATATATACATAAGTAATTGTAATATAAATATATATTAAGAAAACAAAAAAAAAAGAAAAATTATTATTATTATTATTATTATTAATAATCATCACTGTGACGTAATTAGTTCTAGTCATTATTTTTTTTTTCTTATTAACGAATAAAAATATGAAAATATGAAATTATTAATATTATTAATATTATTAATATAAATTATTAAAAAGATAAGACAAAAAAAATTTGTTCGTTTATTTTATTATTGATTTTATTCTACTTATTTACATAGATTAATAAATAATGATAAGGAAGTGATAAGAAAATAACGTGTGTATGTATGGATTATTATTATAATATATCGTACATACATACATAAATAAATTATTTAATTCGGTACGTTTATTAAAACGAATTTTTTTTTTTTTTTTTTTATTATCAGAAGGATGATAAGAGATCAACGGATGATAATGACGCGTATATGAAAATTAAAGTGATGAGATAAAACTAACTGATAAGAAACGGATTACTGTGATAACATGTCAAAACAAAATTTGAAAACGGAAATGGAAAAGGTAAGTCTGGAAAATAAAGGGAAACAAACAAGGGATGTGTTTTGCACAAACATATGTTTAAAGTTTGTTTCCTTTCTTTTTATTGTTATAATTATTTATTTTTTGGAGAGGGAGGGGAGGGGGAAAGCCGGAAAACAAATGATATGGAAAAGAAAGGGGGTTATAAACCATAATCATCTTCTTCGGCTGGATCTTCGTCACTTTCTATTGGTTGACAACCGTAACAAATACCACCGATATCTTTCCAGCATTCTTTACAATGTACAAAATCGCAACCCGGAGTCGTACACTCGTGAAATTCTCCAATTTTTCCAGGTTCGGGTTCTCCACAAATCAAACATTGTCTTTTACCCATTGGAAAATATCTTAACCAATCAAATTTTTTACGATTTTTTAATCTCAATGCTAAAAAAATATTCGCATCGAACTGCCGGAAGTAAAATTTGGAAAAAAAGAAAATTTTTTTTTAATTCCCCTCGGGAATGGTTTTTTGTGATGATGATGATGATAAAACTTACAGAAAGATTTATTTCCCTCGCTTTTCTTCTTAATCTTGCTCTCATGTACCTGAAATACCCGACTCTTCTTTTTAATGTTTCGTTATATAAAAATAATATTCTTTTTTTTTCTCTCTGTTTGTAACACAACGAAAAAAGAGGAGATTAACCATTTCCGGTTGATTTTAAAACGGAATGATGATGATGATGAAATAGTTATATTATTACCTTGTGATAAAAATAAGCGCAAATAACGCGATTTATTCTTTGAGTATAACCTTCCAGTAAAATAAATATCCATATTAGAAAATATGTGCCGTATATTTTATATAGATAATATTTTGATAACATTATCGGTTTTGGAAGGCAACGTTCGTTCGAATGTACGACTCTTACTTTTCTTTTAAAATTAAAACCTTTGACTATCGATCTAACAAGGTTTGCTATCATACCCGTACCCTTTATCGATATGCTCATGTCGTGTTCTCCTGAAGGTGAAAGAAAATTTTTTTTTTTATTTTCCCACTATGACGTCATGAAAACAAATGCATCAATGAGCGTACCTATTTGAGTGTATTCTACGAGTGCGTGTTTTGCAACAATGTCGAGAGTTTCATAAAACAAACGATCGAGTAAAATAAATGTCGTTGCCGTTATCATTTCAAGTACGAGTTTAAATGTTTGTCCCATCTGTCGACAAACGAAAAAATTAATTTTTTTTTTTCTAATTCCACGTTGAAAAAAATGTTTCATTTTTTTTTTTTTTTTTGAAAGACTCACGATTCTTCTTTGCTCTTCCGACAAGAGTAATACGGCGTATGGATCGATAAAATTTTGCCTTTCAACTTTTTTCATCGGTAAAAGAAATCTTTGACCTCTTTTCTTTCTCCTGTTATCAATGTGTCGAAAATATTTCGTTATGTATTTATTATCAAATTCTATATCGGTTAAATATCTTTCGTGATACTGATAAGCTCTGGAAATTTAAATTTATTTTTTATTTTTTAAAACTCGTTCGTACCAAAGGTTTTGTTGAAAGAACAGGAAAGGAAAAAAAGAAAACGATCGTTTCTGCTGCCACGACGATGGTGAAACGTACTTGTATATGACGCGGAGAAATATGAACGCCAAAATTCTTTTCATAACGATAATGATAACGTCGAATATGTTTTTTTTTTCTTGGAAAGTTTTAGTTATTTTTTCAGCGACTTCAGCCGCGGATTTAACGTTGACTCTCGGCAAAGGATTGCTTACTTTGAATTGTATGTTGACATCTTTGAAATTATCTTCCATATCCGTTTTTATGTTTTTTAACGTTTCGTAACCTTCGCCGAAACCGGGTTCGATTTCTTTCGATGGATCGCATACCGCTTTACCTCCGAAAACTATTTACGACAAATATAGTAATCGTTTGTTCGTTCGTTTGTTTGTTTGTTTGCGTTGTCTTACCCTGTGCTAAATTGCATATGAATGTTAATTTCATCGGCCAACATAACAGCCAAGCGACAAACACGCTCACGGTGTTGTAACATTTGTCGTAGGCTTCGGAAAATAATTCCCTGCATCTTTCCGCTCCCTTACTGATAACATCTGAACAAACAAAAAAAAACAAATTTATTGTTATTATTATTATTACTACTTCCGGCGGATGTGTATCGCGTGTGTGAGTAACCTTGACATCTATATTCGAGTTTTCTTTTGTATTTTTTTTCATATTCTTCTCCTTTGTTTTCCGTTTGTTGTTGTTGTTCGATTTGTCTTTTTTTTGTTTTATTTTTTCCCGAATATTTTTCGTCTATGGCATCTGATCTTTTCGAATCGCCCTATCCGAAAATAATAATAATAATAAAAATTACCGGTAATAAAATTTAAAAGGAAAATTTTCCTTGAGATTTTTTTTTTTCAATGACGTTTTTATTAACTCAAACCGCAGAAGACACCTTTTTTTTTTGTTTAGCTTTCTCTCAATTATTTAATTCTCTTGTGTTGGATTAAAACAAAATGGCGTTTTTCCCGTGGGAATTTTTTTTTTTTCACGTGGGATAGAAAGTAAAAAAAAAAAGGACAAGAGAAAGACAACAAAAAAAATTCAAGAATTGAAAAATGTAAAAAAAAAAAAACGGGAGTAAAATCAAATTGTCAAAATGTCCGAAAAGGGTTTAAAAAAAAAAAATAAGAGAAAATTTAAACGTGGCAGAAGAAACCGAAAAAAATTAAAATAAAATAAAATAAAGCAGTAAAATCGAAATGATAAAACCGCCATAAGTAAGACCACGACCGTGAGTAAGGAAGGAAGTAATGAATGAAGGAAACAAACAAACAAAAACAAACGTCGTATACGTAAAAGAAAACAAAAACAAACAGTAATAATAATAATAATAATAATAGTAATTACTTGCAAAGTATCGACGTAATCATTTTCGTTACGTAATTTATTGACTTCATCTTCGCCTTCGATTTCTTCAACGATGGGTTCGATAACGTCACGAACGCTTTCGAGAGTATCCAAAACTTCTTTTGTATCGTGATTCATTTGATACAGAGCATCCTTTGACAAACAAACAAACAATCAAACACAGAATTAAAAGGAAAAATGGAAATTTCTATTATTAAAAAAAAAAATACCTGAAAAGGTTTGACCATGAGTTCGTATCTCGTTTTAGTAAGATTATGTGCCAAAGTTGTCGTACAACCAAAAACTCTCACAGCTTCTTTTGCATTGTTCGATATCGTCATGAATGGACCACCTAAAACGTATGCCAAAACAATCGTTTTAAGTATTCCACGTCCGGATTTACCACAGAAAGCTGGCATTGTCAACAAAGTTATGCAACGAACCTAAAATTATTATTATTATTATTTAAACGGAAAAAAAAACATAAAGGGAAAAATGTTGTGGTGGTGGTACCTGTATTGAAAAAGCGTTACCGATGGCTATAAACAAAGTTATAAAAATACCAATGATTATCGTTGTCGTTTTACCAAATTCCAAATCGATGAGAATGGCATAATACATGACTGGAACAAACAAAGAAAATAAACGATGGAAAAAAGAAATGAAAAGAAACTGGAATAAAATGGTAAAAAAAAATTTCATATACACAATCCCAATAGAATCCCGTAGAAAAATCCAGAAAACGCTTTGAGTTTTTTATGTTGTTCATGTTCCGTGCATAGTAGAAAATAACAACAAGGACAAAAATCTTCCAGAAATTCCGTCAAAGCTACAAAGGAAAAAGAAAATTAACTGGAATTCAAATCAAAAAAAAAAAAAATTTTAATTTTTTTTTGTGCGTTACCTCCTTCAAACTTGTCTAAAAATTCCAAAATTGATTTTATCAT